AAAGCTATATATGCCTTGCTTCACCTAATGGCTTGAAGATGGAACCAGCTCGATGAGCATTAGAGCCAAGATATGATCGAGAAGTCAACATTATCTGTTACTGTACAAACTAGCAATGAATGGCCTGCACGATGCAGTGGGATTGAAAATCGTGTAAATTTTTGTAATCAGATAGTTGTAATCAGTATTTTCAAAAGATTTTCGAAAGATTTCCAGACCCCTCGGTGAAGAGGAAACCAAGGGGTCTAGTAGCAAGAGGGATGCGTCGAAAGCAGACGGAAGGGAAGGAGGTTCTTGTAGGGGGGTAGCCTTTACGCGTTGGGATGGAAAAACATGAACGAAGAGTTGGATCCGTAGGTGGCAATCACATTTGAGGGCGAGGGGCTTTTCTTCAATGGCGACCAGGGGTAAAACAAGTGCTTATGAACAATGTTTTAGTTGTTTTTTTGTTTTAGTATATATTAAATTTTATAATTGGAACTGTTTAATTTTTTAAAATTTTCTTTGGAGATCATCCTTATAAAAAATCATTCAAATTGAGAATCATTTAGCCATTCAAATGTATCAATCAAATTAACGGCGTAAGTACCAAGTAACACATTAGTGGTGAACCATCCATATATTTCATATATTTGGAAGACTTAACGATATTGATTCAAACAATTTTTTATAAGGATAGGCAAATCCTTTCAAAAATATTCACGAGTGGTGGTGGTGGTGAGTATATAAGCAAATCCTAAAAAAAAAGAATTGGTGGACAAAGGTATTATTCATCACATGTCTTGTCCACATACCCCATAACAAAACGGGCTTGCTGAGAGAAAACATAGACATATTATATAGACATCTATTACTTTATTACAAACAGCTTCCTTACCACCTTCATTTTGGTCATTTGCTTGTCAAGCATCACTTTATCTAATCAATCGCATGCCTTCTTCCACTTTGCACAATAAATATCTATTTGAGGCCTTGTTTAATTCTATTCTTGAGATTCATCACCTTCGAGTGTTTGGTTGTTCATGCTATTCTTTAATTAGACTTTATACCAATAACAAACTGCAACCTAGGACCACCAAGTGCATTTTTCTAGGTTATGCTTCAAAGTATAAGGAGTACATTTGTTTTGAAGCTACCACAAAAAGAGTTTATATATCTCGTCATGTTTTGTTTGATGAGAGAGAATTTCCATATTCCACTTTGGCCTTTAAATTGTCAAAAGTGTATCCTCTATTGCCTACCATGTCCATAACTATTCATGTGTTAACCTCAAACCGTAACAATGTCATAGTCACACCACGATTTGAGTATGTGTCTCCTTCCTCATCATTATCAATGTCCAATACACCAAGTGTTGAATATGTGCCTGTGCCACCTGAGAAGAGCTCTGGAGATTTGAATAACAATGGTTCTACAACTTTGAGTGCTTCCAGGTCTAACTCTTCACCTGCTACTTCTCCCATTACTGCCACTGCTCATCAATCCTCACCTTCACTCTATGTGGTTCCTGAATTTCAAGGGGATCAACTTCACGTGGTCTTGTCCATGCCACCATTGAATCTGCATCTTATGCAGACTCGATCGTGGAATCTCTAAAAATATTGCTCTATTAGCATATGTTCATGAACATGGTGGTGTTGATCTTACTAAGGTAGAACCTGCCACATACAAATCTGCTCTAAAATCTCCAGTTTGGTTGGTTGCACTGAAAGATGAACTGAGTGCTCTTCATAGTCAACGAACCTGGTCTCTTGTTCCTCTTCCACCTCATTGAAATTTAGTAGGCTGTAAGTGGGTGTTCAAGATTAAAAAGAATGCAGATGGTTCTATAGGGAGCTATAAGGCTCGCTTGGTTGCAAAGGGTTATAATCAAGAAGAAGGAATCGACTAGGGTGAGATGTTTAGTCTTGTTGTTAAGCCCATTACATTGAGGTTAGTACTTGCCTTGGCTGCTCATTTTCATTGGAATCTTCGTCAACTTGATGTGAAAACGTTTTTCTGCATGGTGTGTTACAAGAGAAAGTATATATGGCTCAACCTCCAGGTTTTCTGGATCCTACTCACAATGATTATGTTTGTAAGTTGCACAAGTTCTTATATGGTCTTAAGCAAGCCCCAAGGGCTAGGAATGAGCAATTTACGAGTTTCTTGCCATCTTTGGGGTTTCAATCTACCTATAGTGACTCATCTTTGTTTTTTAAATTTGTGAATGGTTATGTTATGATCCTATTATTATATGTTGATGATATTATCATCAAGGGAAGTGCTTCTCAAGCTATATCAAATGTTATTCATGCACTTACTCAAGAGTTTGATATCAAAGATCTCGGACCATTGCATTATTTTCTTAGGATTCAGGTTGTTCATAAGGAGGATGGATTATTTCTATCTCAAGACAAATATGTTGGTGATTTGCTTCTAGAATGGAGATGTCTAAGCCTTGTGCTACACCTTGCCTACCTTATAATCAGTTGTTGAAGGATGATCGAAAACCCTATAATAATCCAGCACTATATCGAAGCCTTGTGGGAGCATTTCAATACCTCACTTTCACTCGGCCTGACATTGCATTTATAGTACATCAGGTTTCTCAGTTCATGCAGTGTCCTATGGAAGCTCATTTGTGGCAATTAAAAGGATTCTGTGCTATCTAAAAAGCTACTCAAGGATATGGTTTGCATTATACCAAAGAAGATTTGGATTTATAGGAATTTAGTGATGCTGATTGGGCAGGGGATCCCAATGATCGACGATCTACTACAAGACTGGTTATCTTTCTTGGATCTAACCCTATCTCATGGTCCTCCAAGAAACAAAACACTGTCTCACGTTCCTCCACTGAGGCAGAGTATTGAACATTGTTTTCCACAGCTGCTGAGATTGATTGGATAAAGCAATTGGTACAGTTTCTGCAAGTTTCAATTTATGGTACACCTACCCTTTATTATGATAATTTATCTACAATTGCTCTTACATGTAATCTTGTCCAGCATCAGCGCACAAAACATATTGAGATTGATGTTCATTTTGTTAGGGAACGTGTGGCTAAAAGAATCTTGCTGGTTTAGTTTATCTCTTCACAAGAGCAGTTTGCAGATATCCTAACTAAAGGGTTGTCTGCACCATTGTTTCGAACTCATTGTGCCAATCTCAGACGTAGTTTTACTGCCCTTGTGATTGAGGAGAGATGTAAGGAGTAATCAATCTAAGGTTTGTACTCTTGCCAAGTGTCAGAAGATTAGGCAAGGAGTTTGGAGTTTGTTAAAACAATTAGCTTAGTTTGTAAGCCATCTTAGGTGTATATATACTACAATGTTAATGTAAACAGTTAAGGAAAATTATCAATACAAACATATTACTTCTTCTCTAAGAATTCTCTCTCTGTCTCTGTCTCTGTCTCTCTCTCTCTAAGTCTACTGTGTTCATCTTCTACGCACTCTCTCTCTCTCTCTCTCTCTCTTTCTAAGTCTACTGTGTTCATCTTCTTCTGCGTATGATCAAGCTTGGTTAACATAAAACACTGAAGAAAACGATGAAAAGTTAAATTTTATATATATATATATATATATATATATATATATATATATATATATATATATTTAATAGTCATGCTTTACCATGCAAGGAAATTTTATTATTTTTATTACTTATTGTGTAACAAACATGGTGAAAATACCGTCTTAAACAGCTTTTAAGGGAATGGTTTTGTTCTTTTTAACATGTGGATGTTTCTTTTTATAAGCTTCTAAAGACCCAAGTAACTCTTTAAGTTCGTAAATACTTAAATTTCTAATGTAGGTATCGTTTCACCTAGATTACGACAAGCATTAACAATAAGACCCGCTCTAGCATGATAATCAGAGAAGAACTCATCGTCCTCCAACTTAATATTTTCAAACTGGTTTGTGAAAAATTGGAGCTTCAAAGCACTCATATCAGCGTTCCCCATGAATGTCTTTTAAAATGTCCCAAGCATCCTTGGAAGTTTCACCAGCAGAGATGTATTCAAATTGCTCAGGTGAAACGACTGTGAACAACAGTTTTCATGCCCTTTTGATTGTTCGTGCTATGAAGCACTTCATGTTTTGACCATTCCTTCTAGGTTTAGCGACAATTTTTCTAGTTTTAGTTTTCTTATCTTAGGCTCAGACCAACCATTGACACAAGTGTGCCATACCCTATCATCTAGAGTCCACGAGAAATGGATGAGTAACTGAACTCACAACACAATCCATCCTCAAAACCCAAGAATACAATTAGAGTACCATTAGACCATCTCCAACCGAAAAAGGGCCAGAGGGTTCGTTTTAGCTCTCTGGCCTTCCAAGAAATTAATATTGTAATGAACAGTGCATGACCATATTTCATACAATTTCCAACCCGAGGGCTATAGGGCTCATTTTAGCCCAATCACAAAAAACCGTTTCCAACCAAAGGCCAAAAGACTATAGTATGGAATGTGAAGAATTGAAATAAAATGAGCTACAATAGTATGGAATGGTGAAAAATATGTGAGAAATAATGTAGGAAAAAATTAGAAATTAAAAATAAAAAAATAAAAAATAAAAAAAGTGGGCTGGGACAAAAAAAAAAACCTAAGCCCTAAACCCTAAAATGGGCTAGACAAATGGAAAAGAACAAAAAAAAAAAAAAAAAAAAAAAAAACAAAACCAAACAAAGTGGGCTAGCTGGCCGAAAATGGCCAGTTGGTTTGCCCTTCGGGCCTTTTTTGTCCAGTAAGGCTCACGAACCCTTTGGCCTATCCTTCGGTTAGAGATGATTTTCGGTCATTTGGACCTTTAGGTTGGAGATGATCTTACCATTTGGCGCAAAAAATGGCACAATATCGGCATTAAATATACAAAAATTAAAATTCAATTCTTAAAAATCCCTACTACGAAATTGAGACTTGTCCATAACAAAGTGGATGATATTAAAGGCGGGAAAAAGCCCGGTCAAAGCCTCTAACAGAAATTAAAACCGTTTGGCTTTATATTCGCGGCTGAAGCAGAAGAAAAATTCCCCACATTCCTGCGCGGCGAGAAACGGTGCTCTTTGTGATTCCCATTTCTTTTCTTTGTTTTTTTTCCTTTTTATTATTGAATCTGAATTCATTTGATTGACATTGCAGAGCAAGAATAATGGTGAAGCAAATATTGGCCAAGACGGTCGAACTTGCCGACCAAGTCACGAAGGCTTTGGACGTGGCGGTTGTGAGTTCCGAGGAGAAGGAGTGGGTCCCCAAGCTCAAATCCAAGACTCGAATGTTGGCGGGGCTGCTCCGCCAGTTCCTCAGCCGTGACCTCTCCGTCCTCGATTCCTACGGTCGCCTACAACGGCTCGTAATCAACGGCGTCGAAGGAATCCTCAGCAGGTTTCTGTCCAAGCTGCTCAAGCGTTGTCCTGTCAATTGCACTGTCATTGACAAGATCAAGCTTTGCTTCACCCCCACCACCCCCTTATCTGACTTCCGCAATATCCCTAGGTTACTCGACAATTCAATCCAAGATGTCTCGTGGATTCTACATCTCATTTGGAACTATGAGTACGAGTACTCGACGCTGCCTCCAATCGCATCTAACGAGTTGATTCTGTTCATTATTTGGGAGCAGATTGCTATTCTTCGCCGCGAGCCTGTTTCACTTGAATGTCGATCTGATGCGGCATGTGCTCTCGGATCGCTTGTCCGGGACGACTGTCGAAATGCGGAGTTCATTGTTGAGGAAGGTGGAGTCGAACCCTTATTGAAGTTAGTCCAAGAGGGTACAATGGAAGAACAAGAGAATGCTGCCAGGACCCTTGGGCTGCTGGCACTTGTTCGGCAAGGTGTCGAACGCATGATACATGCGGGCGTGTTTAAAGTGTTCGCAAAAATCCTCAGAGAAGCCCCCACGAAAGTTCAGGTTGTTGTGGCCTGGGCGGTGTCTATGCTCGCAGATGAACACCCCGAATGCCAACATGGTTTTGCGCAGCACGATGTTGTCCCCTTGCTCGTTAGCCATCTCGCACCTGAAACTGATAGTGACGTCAATGTCAATGACGACCATGCCACCATGGCCGAAATGAAAGCAATGGCAGCAACAGCACTTTGGAAACTAGCCACGGGGAACTCAGTCATTTGCCATAGCCTCTCGAACTCAGGAGCGCTATTATATTTCGCAATGCTATTGGAAAAGGGTTCTGAAGATGTTCGATTCTACTCTGCCAAGGCATTAATGGAGATCGCCGCAGTGGCAGAGAATAATGCCGAGTTGAGGAGATCAGCCTTGAGTTCAAAATCTCCGGCTTGGAAAAATGTCGGTGATCAATTACTAATAAAGATCACCGATAAGGCAGATCCAGAGCTCGTAACCATATGCATCAAAGCTGTTGGGAATTTGGCATGGGCCTTTGGGGCAACAGAAACAAGGATGATAGACGCATTGGTCGGATTTCTACAAGAAACAGAAGATGAGATGTTAGAGGCTTGCATTGCCCTCACAAAATTCGTACGTCCAAACAACTATTTTCGCCATGATTTTTCCAAGCAAATAGTACGTGTTGGAGGGGCTATGCAATTAATCCAGCTTTTGTATTTTGAGAGAAGGATTATTCAAATTCGTGCCTTGGCTCTCATCTGCAACATTGCACCAGAGATTGAAGAACTTACACGGGATGAGATGCTCACCGCGCTTAAATGGGCGTCGAATCAATCTTATATGACCCAAGATGAAACGCTGAACACATTGTTACGGAAGGCTAAGAGTAGGCTGAATCTTCCTCATCAGTCCAGGGGCTCAAGGGGATGCCCTTAACTCAATCAATGTGTACAAATGATTCGAATTTACAAATTCTTTAATCAGATGAATAAAAAGCCTTTTTTTTTTGTGTGTCTTGGGCAGTGTCTGAGCTCGCGGATAAACAACCGAAATTCCAAGACGGTTTTGCACTACACTCTGTAGTCCCTTGCTGGTTAATTAACCGTCTCGCATTTGAAATTGTTCATGCGTGCATACTAACGACGAGAACAAGACTAATTGCGATGTAAATGTGAATGATGACCCCGAAACCATGCCATTGGAGAGGCTTTTGAAGACAATATGATAAACGTTGCATTTTAATTAGTGCATGTCATTGGACAAGGACAATTTGAAGTAGGAGCAAGCGTGCGAGTGGTTAGTAACTTAGTTGTTTAAGAACATTTACTTTTGCACTTGTTTGAATTCAAGGAGTCACTGGGTGAGTTTCCGATTCTCAATTTCTGAAATGTAATCAAATGTTCATCACTCATGTCTTCGCGATCTTTGTGATCCGCAATGTCACGGTTAATTGCTTCTGTATCTGATTTTTTCACACCTTTTAGCTGAAATTTTGTTCTCACTATTTGCTTGTGGAGACTGTTAATTGATAATCTGGTTGAGGACCCAATGAATTGAACAACACATCATGGCCTATTTGATTCGATTTTTCTCTTTTGATTTAACCATAGCGGATCGCTTTTCGCTTGAAACCAAACCAAATTCTCATTTGAAAGCAATAAGATGTTTACTAGGCCAAGATGAACTTTTTCCATCAAGAAGTGCTTGCTAAATATACATCTATCACTTGAGTGTAGCGCAACGGGTGGTGTTGTACTTGGAATGGAAGGGGTTGGTTCTTGATTTCAGACCGCCCACGGTGTATACTGGACGGAGAAGATTTGAACACTAACTATGAGATGTAACCGTATAATGCCCCAAACATTTGTAAACCTAAATGAACACCGTGTTAGAAGAAACATTGGTTTAACCAATTTCAATGTTGATTCAGTTTGTGATTGGTTTAACCACTATTTTGAAGTTGTAATGACACGCCCCGATCCTGCTAGTCCCTGAATATCAAGATAAACACGTGCTGGCCGACATCCGAGGGTGACGAAAGCCATTTATTGAGTGCAAAAGCTGAAAACAAGGGATAGATAGAGAATAAAGAATGTGCATTTAAGGAACGTGTTTAGAGCATACAACTAACTAGAACATTAAAAGAATAATATAAAATTTAATGAAACAAATGATGAATCCTACACCGAGAAGACTTGAAGATTCCGATGCGGAAGTGCCTTGACGTCGGAATTGTATGCTTCGATTCTAAGTCCTGAAAGGGACGCAAAACGAACGTGAGTGGACAAAGTTAATATATATATAGTAAAACAGTTATCAACGTACTAACCCTTAGGTTTTATGAAAACACATATATATCATGATAAATATAGACTTTCCGAAACCTAGCATGTCATACAATGTCTCAAATCATAACTTGTATATATAATAAGCACTAGTGAATGCCCGATAACTCTCCAAGCCACATGTCGGCTCCCCGTCCATGTGCTAATAGCCAGAGGAAAAACACTTTAGGACTTATGCCAACACCATAATTGTCGTCTGAGACAGACCAAAATCTATCATTTCGTCCTGTAGCGGAATAGGGATCACTAGGTAAATACAAAACTATTGAACATATATATATTGAAAAACAACTTCATAGTATAAAGTCATTCATCATCTATACTATAAAGAGGTGTTCTAAACATGTTCTAAATATCATATCGTTATCCATCAGATATTCTATAAGAACACGGATTATAGAAAAAATAGTAATAATTTAAAAGAGCTTCAGTAAGCATGTTATCTCACAAAACATTTCATAAAACGTAATCATCAAATCATGTTTTTCATGTATGTTTTTTTACTATTAAAATATGCATTTTTAGAAGGGGTCCACTCACAAATACTTAGCCGCCGAAGAGCCACGCAAACTAGCGGAGACAGAACGCCACAATAATTGCTCCTAAGCATATAAATGGTCCAATTAATACAACTATACTCAAACGATTGAATTTGGAAAAACGAACTTAAAAAACGGGTCCAGGACGTCGAAATTAGCTTAGGAGAGATTCCGAACGAAATACTGTAAAAGTCAACGTTGACCCTTGATCGGTCAAAGTCAACACCGACAGTTGACCGAATCAACGGTCAGACCGGGTCAAAGTCAACGGATCCAGGTCAAGGGTATTGGGTTGGATCGGGTCGGGCCCTAAGGGTTTTAGGCTTAAGGGTTATGCGGGTTGGGCTTAGACTTAGGATGGGTTAGGTTTAGGTTTAGGGTATTGGGTTTGTCACAAAGGCCCAAAGGTTTTGGTTTAAAAGGGACTTGGGTTCTGATGGGTTTGGAACCTGGGTTGGGCCTAAGGCCTGGGTTCGGCCCTAAAGGCTTGGGTAAAATGGTTGGGTAACCCGGCCCAAAGGCCTGGGTTGAGGTTGGTTTTCAAGCCACCATTTGGCTGGTTTGGTGGTTGATTTTCCAAGGCTCATAACTTATTCGTTACTCAACGAAATCGAGTGAAATAAAAATGAAAGTTGTAGTACTCAACGAGACAAAAGATTGATACCTTGCACGTAGGCCAAATCGCTGTGGTTTGGCCGGAAATTTCCTCGAAAGGGGAGGTGATGGCAGGAAAATTTGGAAAAGCTACTCCGAGCTATTTTATGCAATTCAAACGTATATACAACTTAAAACAAGCTTCGATCTAACCCTAAAACACATCCCAAGGGTTTTTAGAAGCTTACCAATGTTGGAAAATGACGAAACTCATCAGGAAAGATGATGAACAGTACCGGCCGAATGGAAGATGAGGGTTTAGGTGTTCTTTCTTCGATTCTAAGCTCACTAAGGTGCTAATGGAGATGTTGATGTTATTGTGGTGTTGATTGTTGGTAAGAAAAACCCTCGGAGGGGCTGAGATAGAGAACGGCGAGAGGGAGTGATAAGGGAGAGTGAGGGAGAAGAGAGAAAGAGGAAGACTTTTCAGAAGAAAGAATAAAAAATAAAAGAAAGGGAAAGGGAACCGGGGGACAAAACAAGGTGGGAGCCCTTCGGCACACCATTTAAGACCCAAAAATAATTTTTTTTTACAAAAACCCAAAACAATTTTGAAAATTGGGGGTGGGGTGTAACATGTAATTTCTTGCAATTATGTACTCAAAAAGCTGCAGATTTTTACAAGGAGACCCATTCTTTTGATGCAGATTGGTGTATAATTCCCGGTACCTACTCGCCAGCTTGGTGAGTTCTCGAGCATTGATTCCGTTTTTTATGTTCTTAATTGGTGTCCATTATTCTTGTCACCTACTCCCCAAAGTGGTTGGTTCTTGAGCATTGGTTAAGGTTTTAACTACATCAGATTTGTCAAGCTCCTGTATATAGTTGTCTAGTACTTGCGGCCTACTCGCCAAAGCGGCCATTTGGAAACAAGTTGTTTTTCGTTTCCCGGCTGTCCAGTTAGAAAATTGCTCGAATCATCTTTTGATATCTTCTCAGAAACATTTCAACGTGCACCGCGACTTGAATTAGCTCACTCGGACTAGGCCTGGTTTCATGTCGATTTTTCTCAACGGTTCACGTTGAAAATGTTCTCTCTCTCTCAACTTGCATAGAATTTCATTACTGTAGGTTGTATTTGGCTTGGAAACGTTGTGTTTTTCCTTTATTACCTTATTTTCGTTCAGAAAACCTGCACTTTCGATGGCTGCAGGAAAGTCATCCAGCAGCTGGTACTTATATAATTACCCAAACAATGTCTTGCTGATTACGCAAGATCGATCACGAATCCTGATTGGTGCAGAGATTTGTGTACTGCAGATATTCGTTTTACTTCTGCATTCTGATTTCAAAGCATTCATAATTCAGTTACTGATGTAATCAGATGAACAGATTTAAAGTTAATCTAGTTTTACGGCGTGGTGTTCGAAATTTTATCTCACGACGGCTACAAAACCAGACCAAGTACCACTCCGGTCCAGTTAGCATTCCGTTCTTAAGACGTTTTAGGAATTATAGTACATTTAAGCAAAAGTTTGTCAGCAAATCTGCAAATAACGCGAATAACAACCATCTTTAGCATAAAAATCTAAACTTCGACAAATGCTAAAACTAGCAAACTCGTTCGTATTCGCTTTAAGAAGTTAATTACATAGGGAAAGTAACTCGATATGTCAAGAATCCGAACTTCTGATCACCCGTTTTAACGACAACAACGGAGGGGAAACGGAAATTCAGAAGAAGATCTTAATTTGACTGAGAAAGTTGTAAATTACGTAGTATGTACACTCAATGAGAATCATAAAAACAAGAAAAAAATGAAATGTGTTCCTTTTTGTTTCGGGTATGGGAAGACCACTCTGCCTTGTGATTGAATCAATGGAATCCCCTCGAGCCCCTGGACTGATAAAGATCCAACCTGCTCTTCGCTTCTTGTAGCAACATTTCGAGCGATTCGTCTTGGGTCATACATGATTGCTTGGACGCCCATTCGAGCACCGTGAGCACCTCAGCCTGGGCAAGTTCTTCGCTGTCGGGTACATGAAGTGCAATGTAGCACATGAGAACCAGTGCGGGAATTTGAACAATTTGCTCCCCGAAATACACAAGCTGGATCAAGTGCTTAGCGCCACCAGCACTTATTATTGCCTTGGAATGGTCGAGATGAAGATAGTTGTCTGTACAGGCAAACTTTGTGAGGGCAATGGTAGCCTCCCTGGTGACCTCAGCCTCTCTTTCATCGAGAAGCCGCACTAACGGGCCAATCATTCTCGTCTCAGTTGCCCGAAACGTCCTTGCCAAATTCCCAATAGCTTTGATGCATGGAATCAGGAGGTCTGAATCTGCATCAGCTTTCTCAGTAATCTTCTGTAGTTGGTCAACCACAGATTTGCAAGCCGGGGAATTAGGCTTGAAGGCTGATCTTCTCAACTCAGCATCCTTCTCTGCTACTGCTGTAATCACCATTAATGCCAACGCAGAATTGAGCTGAACATCTTCGGAGCCCTTCTCCAAGAGCACTGCAAAACATAGCAGTGCTCTGGATTCAGTGATGCTGCGGCAAATAGGCGAGTTCCCCTTGGCTAGCTGCCAAAGAGCTCTGGCCGCCATTGCTTTCATGTTGGCCTTGGTGGCAGGGTCTTCCTGTTCCCTCCCCTTAATGCTCGTCCCGGAAAGATTATGATGATGGTGAGACTGTTGGTGCTGAGGATTCTGCCTTCCGTTGATAGTTCCGTTTCCATTGCTCTTGGCATCAGTGGTTTGACTCCCACCAGGCTTCGGCCCGCCCTGCATTGCCATGGTAGTAGCAACCACATTGTGCAATCGACTCGGGGTTCGATTACCCAACGGATGAGGAATGCGACTGTAACCCTGCTTCTCATCCTCCTCACCCGCCTTGTTCGAATGGTTATTCGCATTGGAATTATTGGTTGCCACCACAACGGCATGAATCGACGTAGCTTTGTTGAAGGTAATAGAATACTTACTGTGCTCCTGAACAGTTTCAAAAGCAAGATGGCTAACCAGCAGCCGAATGATGTTATGCTGCGCAAAAAGGTCCTGGCATTTGGGGTAGTGACCTGCAAGCTCCGACACCGCCTGAGCCACCATTGCTTGCACCTTCATCGGACCTTCTTTGAGGATTTTTGCAAACACCGAGCACACACCGGCGTGGATCATGTGCTCCACATTCTCCGGATCACGGCCAAGCAGCCCGAGTGCCTCGGCGGCGTTCTCTTGTCCTTCCGGTTTGCCCTCTTTGACCAATTTTAACAAGGGCCCGACTCCACCTTCCTCAATTATCAGCTTCCCGTACCGATCATTGTCCCGAGCAAGCGAAACAAGCGAAGCTGCTGCATCAGATCGATCATCAACCGACCCAGTATGCAGAATTGCAATCTGCTCCCAAATGAGGCACAGAATTGGCTCGTTTGCAGCGATTGGAGGCAGCCCCAAGTACCCATCCTCCCGGGTATCCGCAGGAGCCGACACCCGGAGCAGCCACGACAGATCGCCAATAGAGTTTTCAAGATGGGACGACATTTTCCGGAACTGCGCAGCCGGGATAATGGTGAAGACTCGCTTCATGATTCCGTTGGCTCGACATTTGAGCACCAAAGACAGAGCCTTATCGAGCACCTGCTCAGTCTCGTCGATGATCCGCCGAGTAGGGCGCTCGTAGAGGTCGGAGCTGGCTCTCGCCGCCTGCCGGAGCAACCCCGCCAGCTTCTCAGTCTTGGATTTGAGCTCCAAGCAGTCCTGCTTCGACGAACTGGCCTCGTCGGCTGCCTTCGTGACCTGGTCCGCTAGCTGGATCGGCTTCGCCAAGATTTGCTTCACTATGTCCGCCATGGCTGGCACGGCGGACCAAGGATACCAAGGTGTTTGATGAAATGTCTGACTGAAAAAATCACAGATTGGATCAAACAACACAAAAGGGTATTCTTGTTCTGGTGTCTGGAATCGGAATATCGATCTCTGGGAGGACGAAGGTTGGAGATGTGAATTGGGTAGCGTGCTATGAGTCTGTGGCAGGTCTGCAGAAATTCGGAGATGAATATTTCGGCAGACGCGACATGGGGTTAGGGCAGAAGAGAGGGAGAGCTCGAAAGACTGTTGGTTTTGGGTTTTTTGTTGAGCTGCAAAATTGCAAGGAGTTTGTGATCTCGACGAGTTCTACTAGGTCTGGTCAAACGAGTTTTTCTTCACATATATAATAAACACTGTTGACCTTTTCTTTCTTTTGCTGGCTCGATTTCATTTTCTTGATTTTTTTTCTTTTTTTCAACGTTTTTGGGAATAAATACACATAAAATGATGGAATGCAAGTGACATGGATTTTTTTATATACATAACATATTATACCGAACCGTAGTACTAAGTAAAATTCATTTTTTTTTTCTTGAACAAACAATATTATTTATACTAAGGGATGTGGATGGAGGAATAGGTTCCTTACAATAAGGTAAACCTAATAATTGACTAGCAATAATGTGATTCAAAATCACCTTTGGCCTCTCAAATTCGCCTTTAAGTGTAAAATTTGAACCTAAAATATTTCATTCACAAATGAAGAGAAATGATGGTAAACAGTGATATGACCACTTGAAGTTTAGATGATTAAAAATGTTTATCCTTACAATTAAAATGTTGGGGGAAATTAGTCAATCTTAGTCAAAATAAATGTTCGAGGGGCATATCAGGAGTAGTCTAGAAGAAATTGGCGAATTACTCATGAAATATATCATAAGAAAATTAGAAAATGATGTCAGGCTGTCTTCTTTTTTTTTTTAATTTTTAAATTTTTTTTTTTTTAAACCTACAAGCCCCACTGGGTCCTCAACCTTTTCAGGTTGTTGTAGTCATATAGATGGAGTAAGAATCACTTTGGATTTTGTGTACGAAGCTCACGAATCAAGGGATTTTATTCGAGACAAAGATTCGAGCTGTTCAAATTTTTGAGTTTGTAAAATGAGCTAATAAAATAAACCAATAAGAATCGTATGATTGAAATTGAGTGATCCGAATCTCTTAATGTGCGAGCTCAGACACATAGATTTAAAATGGATCTCAATGAACTATGTTTTGCTTGGCAGATAACTATTGAACGTTGCTTTGTAAATGTCAATTTTAAATAGAGTAAAAATAACGAATTTCACTATTCCTTCGCTTTAATAGAATTAGGAAACTTATTTTCGCACAATTTTTTCCTCTCAATGCATATATTTGTTTATTTGTGGCATTTGAATTGAATAAGAACAGAACTTGGCTACTGAAAAATGAGCAGCTGCTCCTATTGCTGGTCAATCACAGATGAATACGTGTCCAACTAATTAATTTTTAATTACATATTGAACACGTGTCCATCTGTGATTGGCTAACAACAAGAGCTGTTGCTAATTTTTTCAAGGGGTGTGCTATCCACACACCTCTTTTTACTTCTTACACACCCCTTGTTAATTTCTGTCCATTGATTTTCTTCAATTCATCCAATCCGATAGCCGAAAATCAAAAAGGTGTGGGAGAAGTAAAAAGGGGTGTGTGGATATCACACTCCTTTTTTCAATAGCTAAATTCTGTCCATTGAATAAACTAAAAGAAAATTAAGATACCGAAATAAACAACAGGAGTGTACACAAGGGGGGAAAAAAAAAAGGAATGTGAAAATTATTTTCCTATTTTTGTTGTTGGTCGATGTACAATCCATGAGTTGATTAGTCATTGGTCTATAATTTACAGAGTCATTTCGGCTTGATTCGCTGACCGGCAACCAACCAGCAGGCGGTGTTCACCTCTCGACCGTCAACTTCGTTTTATCGATAAAGTGTAATTTGCATCTGACCCTTGCCTCAAGTTTATTATCTGAAGAAGTTCTAAGCTTTTATGTCACATCCCAGTCCACATAGTAAGATATTGTCTGTTTTAGGAGATTTGTTCTTGGTTTTCACCTAAAACACGTATTACTATAGAGAGGTAGACATTTACAGATAAGACACATCACATCATCTCCCCCAGACGATGTGGGATCTCACAATCCACCCCCTTTAGGGGTCCGATGCCCTTGTTGGTACACTTACGGTCAGGGAGTGACTCTGATACCAAATTGTCACATCCCAGTCTGCATAGTAAGATATTGTCTGTTTTGAGCCACGCCTTCATAGGTTTATTCTTGGATTTCCACCCAAAACGCGTATTACTATAGGGAGGTGGGTATGTACATATAAGACACATTACCTCCTCTCCCCCTAGACGATGTAGGATCTCACATTTTAAGTGAACAATGTTGGCGTGAAATACATTAAAAATATGTACAAATTGGATCAACTGAGTGATAATGAGATTAGTTTAGTTATATTGACAGCACTGCCAATGGGAAGATCCCCTAAAATATCGGGCATCCTTATTTTAACCCTAATTTTATACACAAATAATAAGCGGATCCATAAACTTTAAAATTATTACAGTAATTATCTCATGATTTCATAAAGATGTTTCAACGTATCAGCGATGGACTGCTAGTTGGTGCAACTTCAAACTGTCTCTAACTAAAACACTTGGCATATTATCCCAATTCTCAAAGATTTAAAATTTGAGCATGCAAGAATCGAACACATCATTTTAGTTACAGATTGACAAAAGAAATGATCAATTTTTTTATATTTTTTGCATTTGGGATTGAAAGACTCATATTCAATGAGATTTTCTATAGTGTTTTGGAGTATCGAATGCTCGAAACTTTTAACGGATAGATCATTGGAATACTGCATAGCATCAGAGGATATTTATTATCTAACTTGGAATGCTCAAACATGAATTATTATTATTTATTTATTTTTAGTTCACAGAAACTTTAGAACTAGATTGGAAACAAGATTTTCAGTGTTGTTTTGGACATAAACAGGCCCCAACTGTCTCTGTGGCAGCTTTTCGATCTCTTACGTTTCTGGGATGAGACCTGGCTGGCCCTTGGGATTGGAGGCTATTCCCTCCAAGCTGTCCCTTGGGACACTCGTGGAACCCCATTTTTTCCCCCTTAAGCCAAGGCCAATTTAATCCAGTCCCAACATATGCTAAACAGTATTTATTTAACCTCAATTCTTAGATCGCACAGGAGTATATTGCTTGGAAATCCAGCGACAAATTGGTGGTGAATTGGACAACTGGGAGAGGACATGTTTGCCTATGGATTAGTTGCACACATGTTACTATGTTTTGGCCAGCTGCCCACATATTTTAAATTTATCGTATCATATATTTTGTATTTAATTTATAGGGTTTTCACATTAGGTAGTTCGAATAAAAAAAATTGGAATTTGCAATCAGCAGGCAATTTTAATAAATTAATGTTTGGTGGTGGAGTTTGTGGAGGTTTTAGGAATCTTTGTATGGGAATTGCGTCTAATATGTGTTCTCTCTCATTCTTCGTTGTATTCGAGATTTTGGTTAAAAGTAAATCTCAGTAGGGAATAAAAAATGAAGATTAGAGCTGCAAAATTAGTGCTAACACACGAAGCATAAAAGATAAGATTAATAGGGTGCATTTTTGCTCACCCGCGTTAACTTGGGTGTATGCTCACCACACATCTCCAAGCTTGCCAAGTGTCCACTTGCCTTAACCCTGGTTAATTGTGATTTAATTACTCTTTATTAATTTAATAAAGAAATAAAAATAAACTAAAAATAGACAAATAAAAACCGTCTGCAACTCACCTCCCGAAGCGTTTATTCAGTTTCAAAGAAATTGTCCTCCTCCACCAAATCATCCATGGCGTTTCGAATCACAGAAATTATCTCCTAATTGTAATTTTATTTATGTATAATATTCTACTGGAAATTGCTCGAGCATTTAAAGCAGCAACGACGACCCTTTATTCCTCTCACTTGTTATCTGCTTCCTCCCACCTATCTATCACCACCCCACGCCAACCACCCACAATTTGGAACAGTCTTCTGGGTACAAATTTTCTTCACTTATCTGTGCATCTTTGCTTTGGGTGAATGGAGGCAACATGTGCTCCTTTCTCACGATGTCGATGGACTTCACCCCGTCAAATCAATTCGCCCATTCCTCTTTAAATTTGTATTAGAATTTGAGATTTTAGATTTGGGATGTTCGCCCAAATGACAGAAAAGGGGGAAAAGGGACAGAGGAGAGAGATGGGAGGGGGAAGGAAGAGGGGAGATGGACGGTTGGGATGTTTGGTGGTGGAGTTTGTGGAGGTTTTAGGAATCTTTGTATGGGAATTGCGTCTAATATGTGTTCTCTCTCATTCTTCGTTGTATTCGAGATTTTGGTTAAAAGTAAATCTCAGTAGGGAATAAAAAATGAAGATTAGAGCTGCAAAATTAGTGCTAACACACGAAGCATAAAAGATAAGATTAATATCCTCTTGTTGCAGACGTGGTTAAATTAGTTAATCAGGATAGTATGATTGTCTCTTGCATTCAAATTCGAATATCATTCCATAAATTAGAGCATCACAAGAGCTTCACTGAATTTCTATATGCTTTCAAAATAATTGAAAGCAATCAACCAGGGATCCCCCTCCTAGTTAGGCTCTAATCAGCAATCAACCATTATAATTATTTAATTACAAATTCAAGCTACTAAATTGAAGGCAAATGCTTTTATTCCTCCAAACTTGTGGACAGAGTTGCGGAGTTTAGTTAAGGATCAAATAATATATCCAAGTCTCAATTTTTACATTAAATCGTAGCTCATTTCTCTTTACTATCACCATAGATTCTTACATACAACTGAAGATATATCTCTTTGTATTAACAATTCACATGAGGAGAGTTGTACATACATGAGTATATATTTCATTTCACACAAAAGAATCTCTCTAGTGTTGCCCAAACCACACGTCGAACATGCTCTCTTTTCAGTTTGGTACAAAATAAGTTTTTTTGGGAATTCATATGTCAAACAGTTTAATTCTCTTTTGTTATATAGTTCATTTTCTTCAACTTATTCCATATGAAGAAGCCGTTGAATAATGCAAGAAACACGTTTATTTGCTGATAGTGAAAAATATTAAAAGATGGATTTCCTGTATAGGTGGTTTGCGTGACTTATAAGTAAGATTTAAGAAGAAGAACAAACAAATGGAAGAAAAAAACACAAAAGAAAAGAGGAAATTCAAAATCTGCTTTTTTTTTGACAAATGACAATTAATTAATCGTGGATCAT